TTTTTTTTTTTTTTTTTTTTTTTTTTTTTTTTGGTACTGGGGATGGAACTCAGGTCCTTGCGCTTGCAAGGTAGGCGGTGGAAACACCGAGCTAAATCCCCAGCCCAAGAGGGAACACTTTGAGGGCGGATCGGCAGTAGTCTTTTTTACTGTAATGTATTTTAAAATTTAAACACACATTGTGTGTGTGTGTTTGTTTTCTGGCCAGCCTCTATGTGCTAACTGAACAGAGGGCCAGTGCTGTGCACCAGGCCTTGGGCCGGGAGGCTCAGTCCCAGAAAGGCCCCCCCACATTAGCAGGGATCCCACACTGCCCACAGCATGGACTCTGGGTCCCCAAGGCTCCTAGCAAATGACCCGACAGCAGTTAGAATCTCTTTGGGCTTGCAGAGCTGTCCCACCCTGCTGTCAAGTGTCCAGCCCCCAGAAGCAACAACAGGTGGTCAGCCAAGTGGGTATGGGACTGTGTACCCCACACACGGGGACATGGGGAAGGGCCATGGGGTCAGGGACAGTTATGGTAGGTTTCCTATGTGGCTTCCCCATCCTGAGCTAAGGTTTAGGGCTTGCTGTAACGACCAGGGCTCCTTCAAAACACCCTTGGGAGTGGGGTACTCCAGGTCCTTACAGCCACAGAGCCACCAGCCTCAGGGCCCCAGGGAGGACAGAGAGCACTTTCTAAGCATGTCAGGAGAAAAGCAAAAATGGCCCTGGCACAGCCCACACACAGCAGACAAGGACTCTCTGGAAGAGTCGTTCACACACACTCAGCCTCCGCAATACACACAGGCGTCTATGCCCTGCTGGCGACTGGCCATACAGGAGTCCTCAGAGACCAGGGAGACCAGTCACCAAACTAGACAAGGAATGAAAGGCAGCTTTGCACCTTCTGGGATGGCATGCCCCAAAAACCCTTCTGGAGATGCTCAGTGTTGGGAGGAGGGCAGTAAAGGCACAGGCCAGGAGGCCAGTGGTGTAGGATCTCAAAATCAGGGCCCTGAACTTTGGACTTGGAAATTCGTGTTTGTGCGTGTGAGTATGTGTAATTGAACCCAAGCCCTCTGCACGAAGCTACAACTCAGCCCTCTACCTTTTAAAACTATTTCTGACTTTGAGCCAGGCTCTAAGTCAGTTAAGTTGCACAGGTAGGCTGGGCTTGAACATGCCTTTGATCTTCTTGCCTCAGTCTCTCACAGTGCTATGGCAGGTGTCTGCCACCATGCCCAGCCTGGACTTGGAAATTCTACTTCTAGGAATTTATCCTACAGAGATACAGCCATCACAAAAGTACAAGGATACAAGTGCGGTGTGGTGATGCACACCTACAGTCCCAGCACTTGGGAGGCTGAGGCAGGAAAAAAATGGGACACAGCCACCTTCTTCCACCCCCCCCTTTCTTTTGGAGACAAGGTTTCACTTTGGGTCTGGGCCAGGCAACCTTCCTAACGACCCAGGCCAGAAACTTCCCAGATCAACAGCCACAAAGCCAAGGCCTGGTGGGGTGGAATGTGGAAGAGCTGGGTGGACAGAGGTGGGATGAGGCCCAGATATGCTCAGAGGTGCAAGTTATGTGAACAAAGGTATGGGATGGGACAGCTGTGAGTAGTGACAGGGTCACCTTGGGGTCCAGAGTCCAGATGGGAGGCCCAGCTTCCCTCTCAACACTGTGCTATGCTGATCTACCCAATGGGCATGTTTTAATTTCATCATTATTGGGGGTTGAACTCAGGGCCTCACTTTGAGCTACATTTCCAGCCCTCTTTTTCATTCGTCTTGAGACAGGGTCTTACTAAGTCACTAAGTTGCCCAACTGGGCTGGAATTTGCTGTGCTTTTGGCTCAGCCTCCCAGAGTGCTGGGGTGACAGGCACATGCTACCATATCTTGATAACTTTGCTGATTTCTAGGGTTTTTTTCTTTTTTAAAGCAAATAAATAAATTTCTTTCTAGACACAGAGTCTCACTATGTAGTTTAGGCTGGCCTTGAATTCATTATGTAGACTAGGATGGCCTCAAACTCTTGGTTATCCTCCTGACTCAGCCTCCCTAGTGCTGAGATTACAAGAGTCCACCACCATGCTCAACTTTTTTAAAACAATGGAATATGTGGATGTATTTACTATTTTGTTCAGATGACTGAAAAGCTTGAAAAAACTGTTGCTACTAGTAATGCATAACACACTGCTACCATGTATGTTTGTGTGTGTGTATACAGGAAACTTTAGGTATGCAGTCAACTTTGGAGAAAGTATCTTAGTTTACCGTGTTGAGCTGGCACTGTACAGAAACATTAAACTTCATTTGGTTCCACTCGTACAGTGGTAACACACTGTATTCAGTAATATAGTCTCAGCTCTATGGGTTTGATTACAGAAGCTAACATTCTCTGAATAATGAAGCAGTATTTAAAAAAAAAACCCCAAACTGAAGGGCTGGTTATGGCTCAGTAACAGAGCATTCGTTAGCATTTGGGACACCCAGGGTTCTGTCTCAGCACTGGAAAAATGAGAAAAAACTAAGAGACAGAGGGAAACTGGCAGTAGTCTCTATAACAGCAAAGACCCTCTGCGCTTCCCACCTCAGCCTGGTTGTGGGCTTCACCACTGCACACGGGCGCCCTCTAGTGACAACCACCTATGTGACCAGAGCCGGTGTGCAGCACTGCACATCTTCCCTCTGGCATGCGCTAAGAGCTTCCGATGCTGGTGCTGCTGGTGGCTGGCCAGTGGGGCCCCACAAAGGTCCTGCCTCAGGGGCCAGTTGGTCACCCTCTGTTGGGCCAGCCGTGGGCTCCTGGACTGCTTGCCTCTCTTTGGTTTGCTGCACAGAGGGTAGAACCTTCCTCTCCCTTGCACCTCCAGTGCAGAGGGTCTTGGATGACCACTAACCAGCACCTCTCTCCCCTGGGAAAATTCACAAGTTACTTCTACTGATCTATCACTTAAATAGGTCAAAGGTGGGGATGCAGCTCAGTGATAGGGAACTTGCCTAGCATGCATGAGTAAGGCCCTGGGTTAGATACCTAGCAACACACACACACACACACACTCGCATGCGCACACGCACACGTCAATAATGAAATAAGTAGGTTGACACAGGACTTGACTTTGTGATTTTCTTCTTCAGGACTGGGGACTGAACCCAGGGTCTTCACACTAAGCTACAACCCCAGCCTATTTTTTAAAAAATTATTTTGAAAAAAGGTCTCACTAAGTCACTGTCTAGGATGGGCTCAAATTCACCATCTCCTGACTCAAGACTCCCAGAGTACTGGGATTATGGGTGTGTGCCACCCTACCAGGCTACAACTGTCATATGAACTCCAATCTCAACTTAAAATTTTATATTTATTTATTTATTTATTTGTCTTTTTGAGACAGGGTCTCACTATGCAGTTGAGATTGACCTGATACTCACTACGTAGCCCAGGATGGTCTCGAATTCACAGCGATCCTCCAGCCTCAGCCTCCCGAGTGCTGGGATTACAGGTGTGAGCCACCACACCCAGCTTAAAGTTTTATTTTAAGTAGCTATTTTATTGTCCATTCAACTGGATAACTGGATTTTTAGGGTAGTGGGGGTGAGAAATGAAGCATGAAAATTGAAGTAAATATACCTACAGCTGAAAAAACTTCCTTCCTTCATTCTTTCCTTCCTTTTCAGTACTGCGGATTGAACCCAGGGCTTTTGCACTGAGCTGCATCATCAGTCCTTTTTAACTTTTTTATTTTGAGAAAGGGTCTCATTAAGTCACTAAATTGCCCAAGTTAGGCTTGAATTTTATAATCCTCCTGCCTCAGCCTCCCAGAG